TCTTCCCTTTTTTCTCTCTGCTCCCCCATCAGGCCCAGGAAGCCCAGCTGAGAGAGGATGCTGACATCTGGGAGATGCTTTCCCGGCTTGCAGCGGAAGGCAGCCCCCCCAAGTCCCCCCCACCCGCCAAACTGCGGAGACCCCCTGTGGCCCGCAAAGGCTCTCTGCCTCCTCCTCCTCCTCGCTCGGCTGCTCCCCCAGGCAGGACCTCTCTGCTCCCTCCTTCTCTGGCCGCCCCTCCCGGCTCAGCCCCCCAGGTACAGCCTCTTCTACCTTCCCCTCTGCATGCGCCGGGCCGGAAGGGGCTGGCAACCCCTGTTCTCCTTTTGGCTAAGTTGCCAACTTGGATGGATCAAAACATGTCTTCTTCTTCCTTCCTTCCTTCCTTCCTTCCTTCCTTCCTTCCTTCCTTCCTTCCTTCTCCTCCCTCCCTTCTCCTTCCTTTCTTCCTTCTCCCTCCCGCCCTCCTTCCTTCTGTCCTTCTCCCTCCTTCCTTCCTTCTGTCCTCCCTCCCTCCTTCCTTCCTTTCTTCCTTCTCTTCCTTCTCCTTCCTTCCATCCTTCTCCCTTCATCCCTCCCTCCCTCCTCCCTTTCTTCCTTCTCCTTCTCCCTCCTTCCTTCTGTCCTTCTCCCTCCCTCCCTCCTTCTTTCCTTCTGTCCTTCCCCCTTCCTTCTGTCCTTCTCCCTCCATCCCTCCTTCTTTCCTTCTGTCCTCCCTCCTTCCTCCTTCCTTCTGTCCTTCTCCATCCCTCCTTCCTTCCTTCTGTCCTCCCTCCCTCCTTCCTTTCTTCCTTCTCTTCCTCCCTTCTCCTTCCTTCCTTCCATCCTTCTCCCTCCCTCCCTCCTTCCCTCCTCCCTTTCTTCCTTGTCCTCCTCCCTCCTTCCTTCTGTCCTCCTCCCGCCCTCCCTCCGTTCCTCACCTCCTCCGTCCTGGAGTCCAGGCAGGTGCCCTTCCCAAAGAACCGTCTGTTGATGCCAACAACCGCCTGCTTTCTGCTTCCAAGCGCCGACTCTGGGGGGCCGAAGCCCCAAAGGTACCCTTGCGTGAGCTGGGTCCCTCTCTGTGGCATCCTACAGAAAAAAGGCAGGCAGGGCCAGGAGTCGGCTGTGGGCAGAGGATGCTGAAGCATCCAAAGCTTGGAGCCTTTCGTGGGTAGGTGGGTGGGAAGGGAAGGAAGGAAAGAAAGAGAGAAGGGAAGATAAGGGAAGAGAGAAGGAAGGGACAGGAAAGGAAAGGAAAAAAGGAGAGGAAGGAGGAAGGAAGGAAAAAAGGAGAGAATGAAAGGGAAAGGAAGGAGGGAGGGAGGAAAGAAGGGAAGATTAGGGAAGAAAGAAGGAAGGGAAGGGAAAGGAAAAGAAAGGAGAGGAGAGGAGGAAGGAAGGAGAGACAAAGAAAGGGAAAGGAGGGAGGGAAGAGAGAAGGAAAGGAAGGAAGGAGAGGAGGAAGGAAGGAAAAAAGGAGAGAAGGAAAGGGAAAGGAAGGAGGGAGGGAGGAAAAAAGGGAAGATTAGGGAAGAAAGAAGGAAGGGAAGGGAAAGGAAAAGAAAGGAGAGGAGAGGAGGAAGGAAGGAGAGAGAAAGGGAAAGGAGGGAGGGAAGAGAGAAGGAAGGAAGGAAGGAGGAAAGAAAAGAGAAAGAAAGAAAAATAGAGAAGGAAAGATTAAGGAAGAGAAAAAAAAGGGAAAGGAGGGAGGGAGGAAAGAAGGGAAGAAAGAAGGGAAGATTAGGGAAGAAAGAAGGAAGGGAAGGTAAAAGAGGAAAGGAGAGGAGAAAGGAAGGAGAGAGAGAAAGGAAAAGGGAGGGAAGAAAGAAGGAAAGAAAGTGAAGGGAAGATTAGGGAAGAAAGAAGGAAAGGAAGGAAGAAGGAGGGAGGAAAGAGAAAGGAGAAAGAAAGAAAATAGAGAAGGGAAGATTAAGGAAGAGAGAAGGAAAGGAGGGAGGGGGCTGTTTTCCATCCCAGGGTCCTTCTTTCCTCAAAGGGCTGGGGGGGGTCGTGTGCTTTGTTCCGCCTTGAATTTCTGGAGCCGGGCTGGGCTGTGGTCCTGGTGTGAGCCTTGCCTGGTGTGTGTGTGTGTGTGTGTTGTCGGCCTGCCCCGCGGCAACCGTCTCCCCTCTTCCATCTCAGCGCTGGCTGCTCTACCGGGGACTCCCCAGGCTCCCCGAAGCCACTTTCTACTGGGAGCTGCCCAGGCCTTTCCTGGGGAACCAGGTAATCCCTCCTTCCCAGGTGGTGAGGCTGGGACCCAGCATGGTGTGGTTCTCTCTCTCTCTTTCTCTCTGAACGACCATCCTGCGTGGTATGACTTGGTTACGGGTAGTCCTTGACTTACAACCGTTTTTTTAGAGACCGAAGGGACAACGTTGCCAAAGAAAAGGGTGACTTATGACCGTCTCTCACGCTTAACGGCCATTGTAGCGTTCCCCAGGGTCACGGGATCAAAATTCAGGTCGTTCGGCAGCTGTCCCAGAGTTACGACGGCCGCAGTGTCCTGGGATGCAAACCAGACTCACAGAACGGCCGCGTTCCTAACTGAACGGCCGCCGGTGATCCCAACCGAGGCGCCCGTGAAATGGGGGCAGAGCTAGCGCTTGGCGACAAATGCCTTCGCTTAGCAACGGCAACGTTGGGCTCGAGGGCATAAGTCGTAGGTCGAGGACTGCCCGCGTGGCGCGGAGCCTTCTGGCGTGTGGCGCTTCTCCGTCATGGATAACACCGGAGAATGTGACCTCCTCACATTTCTCAGGTTGCTTTTTTTTTTCCAGAGCTTTTAACTCGAATGAGGTTGTGCCCGGCAATCGTTGAGGCATTTGTGTGAATTAAAATATCGGGGGAAAGTTTTAAGAAAGGAAGTTTCTTAAACTCCGAGGGAGATTCGTCGTATGAGGGGAGGGAGAGTCTTCCTTGGCTCCCACGGGCGCCTCTGAAGGCCTTGTGAGCTAAGCCACCGAAGAGAAAACCCATCTTGGCTTTTCGATTTGTGCCTCTGCTCCGTTGGTGGCTTGGTTTGTGGTACGAAAAGGCGTAGAAGCAGGGACACCCGTGGCCGGCGGCCTCTGCCTGGCCTACCTCGCTGAGTCACAGAGAAGATAAATTCCCCCACTGGGTCCAAGCAGGTTACGGGGGCCCCGGCCTTGAGCTGCCTGTTGGCGGCTTAAACGCCGTGTCTTGAACAAGGGGTGGGCCTCAAAAATTTTAGCAAGGAGTTCTCTTATCTGGTTGCGGGGTGGGCGTGGCCATGGTGGGCGTGGCCTAGCCAGCCTCCTGCACCACAGTGTGTGTGTGGGGGGGGTGATTTTGCTCTCCCCGGACTCCTGAGGCTTTCCTCGACCCTCTGGGATGGCGAAAATGGCCTCCTTGGACTCTGGAGGCTCTCTGGAAGCCAGAAATGGGCCCATTTCCGGCCTTCTCAAACTTCTGGGAGGCCCATTTTTCTCCCTCCCCGAGCCTCCACGTAGGCCCTGCGCTTACCTGCATCCAATATGGGTCAGGTGGGGACTCAGGGGAGGGGTGGGCAAGAGTGGGATTTGGGGGTTCTCTGAATTGCGCAGCATCTTAGCTAGGGGCTCTCGCGAACCCCCAGCAGCCCCACCCGTGCCTTGAGCGCTGGTTCCTCTCGGTCCTGGATGAGACCGGAAGCCCCTCCTGGCTGGCGGGGGGGAACGAGTGACCGAACAGAGGGTCTCCATCTCACCCCTGCAGGTGGGCTCCTACGGGGGACGCCTTCGCTACACCCTTTCCTACACGGCCGGAGGGAGAGGCACCCCGCTGCCCGACGCGGATGTGCAGATTACCGTAAGTTGGGGACGGGAGGCACCTTGCCTGCAAGTGGCCTTTGGTGGTGGGGGGGCTGGCTGGGAGGGGGAAGCTGGAGCCCCTCCCTCTGGAATACCCCTTCCCTTTACTGTAAGTAAACTGCTAGTAAGGAGAATGCCTATTGAATGAATCCGTGTATTAACTGCAGCTAGAATGGTGTTTGCACAAAATTGGAAAAGCGACGAGATTCCCGCGGAAGAGAAGCTGGTTAGGAAATTTTAGAATGTGCAGAAATGAATAGGCTAAGGCTGGAAATTAAAAGAGAAGGAGCAAAGTGAATATTATACGATACGGGATTTTATTGATGGCTGGAAAATAAACATGGACGTTAGAAATTGAAGATTAGTAAAAAATAGTATTTTAAAAAAAAATTCGTTGTACGAGGTGCAATGACAAACTAAACTAAACTAAACACATGAAAAGAATTAAAAATGTTAAGATGGGGCATGTGACAAGAATTGGATATATATTAAGTATATTAGTATTAAGTAAGAATAGAGCATTAATACCAAGCAATGAATACGTATAAACTGTAAGTGTTATTGCACAAGATAGTTGTACCCAGATGACACACTGTTCAAATGGAAGATGGATTGTTTGTATAATATAATAAAATAAAGTAAAATAATTTTACTTTACCAAAAAAAGGGGGAATCGTCCCCTTCCCATTTATGCTGCTGTAGTTTGCAGCTTCTCTCCAGCGTTCCGCCTGGCTTCCTCCGTCTTAGAGGAAGGAAGCAGGATTGGCCATTGGCCCCTCTGCCCCCTAGGAAGTGGAGTCGGGGAGGGGGCTAGGGCCCCTGGGGCTCTGCTTGAGACCCTCCCAGCTGCTGTGAAAGCGCCTCCCCCCTTGTTCTTCCTCTCTTTCAGGGCAACGACATCACGCTGGTGGCTTACCTGTCCGAGCTGCGGCCTCACGAGCACAAGGGTTTCGAGGTGGTCTTCCGGGAGGTAAGGAGGCAAGGGAGAACCACAGGAGGAGGGGCGGGGAAAGGAGGGAGCAGGCTGGCATTCCTGCACCCTGTTGTCGCCTCCAGGGGGAGCGGCAGAAGCGGTCCAGCCGCCAGTCCCACCCGCGGCCTCTGGACTGCCCCTTCCCGCTTCCTTTTTCCTCTTCAGCAATTCTGGAAGCGGCCCGATGGGCAGCCCGCCACGCGGGAGCACCTGCTGATGGCCCTGGCCGACCTGGACGAGGTCCTCATCCGCGCCACCCACTCCACGGACATGCTTTCAGCAGGCATCACTGGCGTCAGTATGGAGACGGCGGTGCCCAACTACACCAGCCTGCCCCGGGCTCTGGAAGTGGAGGAATGCCGCTGCCCGCCCGCGTACCAGGGCCTTTCTTGCCAGGTGAGCTGAGGGGCTGGGGCCCAGCCGGACCTTTAGGTCTCAGAATAAGCCCTGACCCCCAACCCCCTAACCTTCCCTGCCTTCTCTCTTGCAGGACTGCGCGGCCGGCTACACCCGGACCGGCGGAGGGCTGTACCTGGGCCACTGCACGCTGTGTGAATGCAACGGGCACTCGGAATCCTGCCATCCTGAGACTGGCACTTGCTCGGTGAGAACACTTCTGGGTTGCCGCCTTTGCCAGAGACTAGCAAAGTGTTCTAACCAAGGCTTCCTGAGACACCAACAAAGTCACATAAAACCCAAAACCCTTTTTATTTTAGTTCAGTGGCTGTGAATTATTGTCATTCACAGCTCGGAACGAGTCTTAACGGGTTATAATTAGTCCCAGGGACATTGGCCAAAGTTCTTCGGGAGAAGTCCGATAAGAACGCACCTTTATCTGTCTTGAAGCGCAGCCAACAACTCAAGTCCCAATTAGTCTTTCCAAAACCAGAGAACAAATTCAGCACGGAGCTTTCAGAGTCCAAACCGATCGACGTTGCTTCCTGCAAAGGTTTCTCTACCTTTGCCTGTCCTTTATACCTTAGCGGAGGGGCAATCTCCTCCCAGCCTTACTCCTGAGTCACCCCTTTTGTTTCAGCTGGAGGTCAGCACATAATTCCCAGATGGTCCTGGCCCCATCTCTGCATCAGACTCAGGACCATAAGTGCCTGGGGAGGGGGCTGGAAGGAGCAGGGGCTTTCTTGGCGCCCCCCAGGTGCCAAGCAGGGGCTCTGCCCAGAGCGGCAGCCGTTTCCTCCCTTGCAAAAGGCATCCGGGCAGCTTTCAGTGGCCTCAACGGGGCTGCTCAAAGCTCTAAACCGTGCATGGAATCTGGCAGCCAGGAGAAGAGAATGTGGCGCTGGGGTGCGTGGAAAACAACTTCGGTTACGCAACGGGGAGTTGGGATACTTTTGCAGTTGGTGAAAAGGCCTGTTTTGAATATTGGCCTTCCCGTTTATCCTGTTCTTAATTAATTGGATCAAACGGGGCTTTTCTTTAAATGAGCATTTTATTCTGTTGAAAAAGCAGCAGTGGAAACTTGTGAGGAGGGTTTGGCTTCCAAGTTGGCCTTCTCGAGTCTCTTCCCCTTCCCCTGGGTTTCCGTTCCCCTTTCTTTCCCACAATGACAATCCTTCTGTTCTTCCTTCCTTCCTTCTCCCTCCCTCCATTCCTCCTTCCTTCCTCCCTCCCTCCTCCTTCTCCCTCTCTCCTGCCTTCCTCTCTCCCTCCCTTTCATCGATCCCATCTCTCCTTCCTTCCTTCCTCCTCCATCCTTCCTTCTCCCTCCTTCCCTCCTCCCTCTGTCGCTTCCTCCCTCCTCCCTTCTCTCTCCCTCCTTCCTCTGTCGCTCCCTCCCTTCTTTTCCCCTTCCTTCCTTCCTTCCTTCCTTCCTTCCTTCCTTCCTTCCTTCCTTCCTTCCTTCCTT